TGTCACTTGCCTAAAAAGACTTGCAAAAATTTCCAACTTTCTAACGTGAGAGCTTAAAATTTTCCTTACAAAATTATTTTAATGTTCCTAAGATTTTTTTGCTACTGAATTTACAAATTAAAAAAAAAGAGCATTTTGACTTTGTCGTCGATTGCTCATAACTCCGTTAAAAATTATCGTACCACAATTCAAAAAATAGATTCTTAAAGCTGAAATTTTGCTCTATCGAACGATATACCAGATATGGTAGTTGACAATTTTTTTTGTAAACATATAAACATGATGCAAATAAAATAGCGCTACGAACTTTTGTTCCGACCCAATATTTAGTGTCAGTTTCCTTGCACGCCACCTTGCAAGATTGTGCCCCATTTTCCCTGCGATCTCCATGCTGATTTCAAATCAATCAATGTTGCACGCGCTTGTTCCGTGTAGCACCGAACTTGGCGACGAGGCCACGGTTGTTTCGGACTTTGCGGTGCAACCTGGTGCAAAGCAGCACGCAAGGAAACCACCAGCAAAGCCCGCTTTGTATTTGCTTTGTGAGCTAAGAACTTAAACCGGACGCATCGAAGGTATTTGACTAACAAGGAGAAAGTCACGTGTCTCGTTTAGCATAGTAGAAATTCGACAAAGGGAAGAAATAAACGGACTCTGGATATGTATTTTGCGCAAACGCCAACTTCGTTGTAGGAAATATAGGAAGGGCGGAAACGGCGAGAGGAATGCTCTTTCTCTCTCTCACTCTTTAACGACGCCACGTTTGTTCGCAACAGAGCCGAAGGGTTGAACGACGACGTTCGTTGTCTTTGATACTGACTGACAACGCCCTGAACATGATTCGATTACACGCGCGCGAGGAGGTAATCACTAGCTGAAATATTGTCCCAGAGATTACATGATTTCATTTGATTACAAATAATTTCTTTCACTACACGGAAAGAATTTTCTCTTACAATTTACCCTTAAAATATAATAGTTATGGTACGATACAATATTTTAAAGATTTTTCCCATGCACTTCAGTAAAATTAATTAAACTTATTTTATATTTTATTATAGTTTTATTAATGAATGAGAGAAATTTACATAAAATTCTTCAAACTATAATGTTGTCTCATGGCTATCATATTTACAGAGTAAACTTTAAAAAAAAATTCTCTCCGTGTACATATAGTTATTTGGTAAAATAAACGATTTTATTTAATATTAAGGGAGAGTGGTCTAAATCGGATCGTGTTCCAAATAGGACCTTTTTGATTTAAATGAATAAGCAGATTTTCGTACTATTTATAATGTAAAGTCCTTATAAGACACCGAACATGTGATAGCAGTTTGACAGTTCTCTGTCATAACATTCATAAAATAGACGAAAATATGTATTTTCAGCCATCGTGCGAAAATTAAAAAAAAAAATCCTTGTAAATCATTATTTAAAAGGTGTTAAAAATTCGAAAAGTAATTGACTTAAGATAATTAAAGAGTATAAAATTCAAAAATATCAAGCATTTTGTGATCACTTTTGCGGTTTATTGTAAAATTTGTTGCAAAGTTCGAAAGGAACTGTGTCTAAATCGGACAGTACAGTGAATAACTTATAAGCCTGGTCCAATTAATTAAATCAGTAAAATATCATGAATCATCAGACTCAAATTAGTTGAGTTTTATTGATTTCAATTCTAATAATATAAACAGTCAGTAATTTCTTTTTCCGAAAAAATTTTTATCTTTGACTGTCAAATTGCGCTCGTTTTTACTCAATACTAAGAAAAATACATTAAAATATTTTAAAATTCTATTTAAAAATCCATAAAAATAGGAGTTTTCGATCTGAACCAGGGGATGGTCCGATTTGGAATCATCGGTTCCAAATCGGACCGGAAAAAGCGTTTTTACATTCTCTATTATAGTTTAACACAGGTGAGAGATACGTCAAAATGATCTGAAACAAAAATGAAGGGAATTAAATGAACTTTCCAATAGCACCTTCGATTTTACGATCGAACTTTATTTACACCTTATAGAGAGCAAAAACTGCAAATTGGTCCGATTTAGACCACTCTCCCCTACACAATGATTTTCCGTGATTGTAATTATCGGATTATACAGAAGGATTTCTATAAATTTTATAATGATTTTGGGGACACTGTCCCATGATTACATTGAGTGATTACCTCTTCGCACGCGTTTGTACATGTACGTACTGCGTGCGAGTCACGCGCAAAATAAACAATTACGTCGAATAACCCGTATTTTTTAGTCGGGATCCAGTTACGCGAAAGTAAGAGCTGCGGACACTCCGCGTTTCTCCGCGTAACGACTGCACGCCGTAATTGTATATTGCAGCGTTCCAACGTGATCACCACAGAAGCGTGAATCTCAACCAATCGCGCGTACATTCACTCGTAATTCAGTAACAAAGTTATGCAGGCGACAGAGACCATTGCGAGTGAAAAGAGTCCATGTCTCGTGAAAGGTACACTGAAAAAAAAAAAATACCTGATTGAAAATGGACGAACCAGAAGATTATGATTACGTATATCAATCAGAATTCCGGTTATTTCAATTAGAATTCTAATAGATTTAATCAGTACACTCTGATTTCAATTTCGACCAGAATTCCAATTAATCCAACCAGATATTTTTTTCAGTGTATGTCGAAAAAATCATTTATCAGATAAGTACAATGTATGCTTGCGGCGAAAATTGGACTTGTGATTCTGTTAAAATACTATCTCAAATTCATGACAATAAGGCACATATCTAAGACAAATATCTAAAAGATATTGTAAAGAATCTAATAGCACTTGATTACTTTGATTTGCTACTACTTGAATTGTATTAAGGAAATGGTATTATACGAGACTACTAAGATGTCTGGAATTATTTATTAAGAGATTTTATTATACTCTCTCTCTCTCTCTAGACTGCTGAAGATAGCTTGAATTAAGCCGAAACGTTCGGCATTTGTTATATATACGTAGTACTGAGAAATATGTCGATATAATCGCTCCAATTACTGCGAGTTTAGATTCTTAATTGCTCGTTTTTTCTTTTATTGTTTAAGAGTTTACATCTAATAGCGTTTTTCATTGGCAGAACTAGAGCGCACTCAATGCATATTAAAACTATTGTACACTATTCTAATCTAAATGTAAAAGTGAGATATCTCAGTTGATAAAATGCTCAACGTGTATTTTATCAATTGACACAATAAAATGTATTGAATATTTCGCGGTTTAATTCGTTTCTATATTTTTATTAAACATACATCTTTATGTCAATTTGTCTACAACGGCTTTAAATTGCATTGAATGCGTATTAGTTCTGCCAATGAAAAACGCTATAAACAGTATTCAATCTGGACGTTCTGCGGACTTTTCTATCTTTTAGTCATCATTATCACTGAAGGCAATCACCATATTATAACGCAAGCATCTTAAAACAAGTATTAATTCATCATTTGCTAGTATTGTTTTACATGTTATCCCAAAGTATGACACAATAAAATAAGACAAACACTTGAAAGATCTAAAGAATCTACTAAAGGACATTCAATATATCTGGGCGTTCTTCGGATCTTTTCTGAATGTTTTTTAGTCATTGTCTTCAAAAGTCGACAATCGTGTATTGTAATGCAAATGTCTTAAAACGTGATGTGTTTTTATCAATTCCTCGGTTAACTCATCGTTTGCTTACACTGTTTTACAAATTCCTCCAAACCCTAACAATAAGATAAGACGCGATGACCTAAAAGATATTCTAAAGAATTTAAAAGCCATCCAAAATATCTACATGTTCAGATCTTTTCTGAAATGTCTTTCTGTCATCATCTTTGGAAGCTGAAAGCAATCAATCATATTATAACGCAAGCATCTTAAAACTTGTGTTAACTCATCATTTGCTAACACTGTTTTACACGCGTTACCCCAAATCCTAACAATAAGATAACACAAATATCTAGAAGACATTCTAAAGAATCTAAAGAACATCCAATATCTAGATGTTCTTCGGACCTTTCTAATCATCTTTCAATCATCGCTTTTAGAAGTCAAAAGCAATCACCATATTGTAACGCGAATATCTTAAAGTATCCTTAAAATATTAACTTATTGTTTGCTAATATCGTTTTGCAAATAACAAAGGCACTATCCAAATATTATATACGAATAAATGATTCTCGCATATAAATAAATGATAACTCGTATATAAATAAAAATAACGCGCGTAATTTGACACTTGTTAAACAACTGGCAAATAACAAAGGTAGTATAAAAAAATTGAATATATGAAAATAAAGGATTTTACAATATAAATCGATCGTTATGAGGATTGCTGGGCAGAAATACGGCAGAATAAATAAAATGCAAATATTCTTGAATAATACGTGTGCTTGATATTAATGATATTCCATTTATGGATTAAACGCATAAAAGTCTGTAGAAGCATTCTAAATGCGAATGCAGGAGCATTACTTTTCCCCTTCGTTGTCAAAGCGACACGTTTTTACCGTGAAAAATTATATGTCAAGTTTTGTTGCAGCATGTAACTGCGCGTAACTTCGAATCGATGGACCACGGCATTCCTAACACGAAGGACCTTGGATTTCGGAGCGAGCGGCGAAACGTCAAAAAGTGGTTGTTTCGCAACAATTCGCAACAGTGAAGCGCCACCCTTCGGCGGAGCTGCCGCTGTTGTTATTGTCGATTATATGACACTTTGCACTCCTGTATCAATATTCTATTTGATAACGAACGTGTTTTATCCTGCAGGATACGTCAAGGAGAGTCACGGATTCTCTCGAAATGGGCGATTGTTTCAGGGATAAGCTGTCATCGCGTACATCTCGCGTATCTCTACAAGCCAGAAGAAATGAAAGAAAAAAAAAAAATAAAATAAACGAGCGACCTGTCAACGTCAACCTGTCGTCGCTCGTAATCCTTGCACGACAAGTGTAGTACGCGAGAGGGTGTCGTGACGAAACGTCGTCTAAAAACTCACCTCTTCGGCGAATTCAAAATCACCGTCGAATCTCCTCTTGCATCTCACCCCCGTGGCAAGAACTAGCAGCACCGTGGCCGCGAGCATCCACGAGAATCGCATGGCTGAAACCGTCCCTCCGAGTCCTCTCCTTATCCCCGGAACCGTCACTTATTTCACCGCGGAAGACGCTCGCGCGCGCGGCGCGACAGAACGAAGGTGAGAGAAAGAGAAGAAATCGGCACGCGCGAATTACACCGTCAAACGGAGGGAAGAAATTATCGGGGGGCGATTAATGCGGACGATGCAACCGATGATCGTCCGGCGCACGCGAACTCCGACTTGACGTGTATGTATTATGTGTATATGTATGTTACGCGACGCTCGACGCGGAACGGAAACGCGCAGCTCGATAGCCAAACGAGTTGTGCTGTGACCGCGCGAGGTGAGGCGACACCGTCACTGCTGACTGCCGTTGGTTCATGCGCCGCCAGAGGCGCGCGCGCGTCGCGCCTGCTCATTGGTCGGATCCTCGACGAATGGCGCGCGGGGAGGAGGGGCCGGTAGCGCGCGCTACTCGCTTTCGCTCGGCTCTCATCGTCGCTCGCCGTGCAGCTCGTGCACCTGTTCGGCTACCCTCGACGCGGACACGCCGCGCCGCGTCCGTCGTCAGTCAATACTTTCTCCACAGCTGCTAGTTCACCTACCTACCTACCTACCTATCTACCTACCTGATGTAGCCCGTGGCCCTGATGGAGAAAAAGGAAGGAAAGGGTTGAAGGGAATTTGTCGGAGAGGGACACCAGGGAAAAATTCAGTCCCGCTCTCCCTAGACGATCTCGGCCGTTCGACCTGATCGACTAATTTCTTTTTTTTTATTCACTCTCTTCGTTACAATTGCCATTACTATCATTGCTTTCTTTTGTTACTTTAAATCGTAGTATTGCGTCCCTTAGAGGACAGAGATACCTATACAAAAAGAAAAAACTTAACTTTCTGGAGCAACGGGGTCTTTTGTTTACTGATATTTATAACGATCCAACGTGGAATATTAAACTTCAAAATGTATGTCAATACATATTTTAACTATAAATTTATTAACAATGATAACTTTGGATGTAGAATTTAATAAGTAATTCAATCGTTCTTGTTAACTTGTAAAATGCAACTGCTCTTTAAAACTCAAAATTGTTCAAGTATTATTTTTATATTAAATTTTTTTTTAATCTAACAAAAAAAAGAATACCTACAATAATATTTCAATATTTTACAGTTTAGATTTATTATACATGCAAAAAAAAGTATACTCAATTTCTTAACATGCTTTTTGCGATCGAACAAAAGGATAAATTATATTTAGTTTTCTTCTTCTATTTCTCAAAATATCTAGAAAATGCCGTTTATTCGATCTTTTCAGTAGAGACGGTAATTTGCTTTTATACTCTCGAGACCCAACTGAAGAATTTATCGCTCCAAAAGCCCACTCCACTTTGTAAGTCCAATGTGGATGCGTGTCACGTGAAAGAATGTATATAGTTCCTAGTACATGTTGCTAAGTGCATTTTCAGAAAAGTGTAAGTTTCTTTGGAGATCACTATCAGTGAATCATATCTAAGAACAACCACGGTGAAGTACGAAAATAAATCAATTTATAATCAATCTATTTACTCATTCACGGCTTTTTTTACATCTTTTGAAAAATACCGGGAAAGAGCATCTTTGATTGGCCACCCAAATTAAAAAAAAAAAAAAGAAAACAGATTTAGGATATGCATATACATAGAATTGGAATGTTTAAATATTCTCAAAGTGATACATCATATATGGGATAACTTTTGAAAATAATACATCTGTACTCAGACCAGTTTGTTTATTGTTTTTATCTCTATATTTGGAAAAATACTGAAGAGAACTAACGTGCCTTTTAATCTAAGATACCCATCTGCTCAGAATTGTACAGCTACATTAATCACAACCCATAATGAGATTATATTTCTTTCATAGTCGAAACGTGCCGCTATGGATGTAATATCATAACGATATATATGCGGAGCATATCCGAAAAGTGCTTGTATAAACATTTATCCTATGTTATTGAATTTAGATATTTCATGTATATATATATATATATATTAGGATAAAAACTAATAAAAACAAAACAGTAGCACCGCATATATATCAAAATATTTAAATGCTATTTATAATTATTAAAATGAAATTAAAAAATGATGTATTGATGCGAAAACAGCAAAATGATAAATGAGAAGGAATTCCATGTTGAATATGAATAAACGGAGTAGCCGACTTCGCTAGTTGATAGAACGAAGATATCCGTCTCATCTTCATTTAAGATGTACATAATGCCACTTATCGACTGAAATCATACATTATAAAAACAATTCAATGAATAAATTTTTAATTTACATATATTCAACGTCAATAATATCTTCATATAATTCAAATATTCAAAAACAGTGCAATTTTTAATTCCCATCATAATTGTTACAATTTGGGGTGTACGAAGTAACATTTGTCAACTGAAAGTGAAGAATATTAGAGCATTATAAATATCATTGTATATATAACAAAGCTTATGAGAATTATAATTCTCATTAATTTTTCAGAAAATTTACATTGCTTTCTATTCTATGTTACACTTGAGTTACCTACCTATCGGTTCTACAGGTTGGGGTTCCACTGGTTCAGGTGCTTTGTCTAAAATTTCTTGTGCAGCTTCTGTGGTAATCTTGAAAGGACTTCCCTCCACTGTTACATTAGAACTGCAAAAATAATACATAGAATGATATCTAAGTTATTTTATCTAAGACATAATTTAAGATTAATCCAAGACTAATTTGTACGAACCATTCTATTTCACTAGATGAACCTTCCTGTTTGATCAAATTTTGCCAATGTTGATGTACTTCATCAATGATATGTAAGGCAAATTCTCGTGGTTTTGCTTCACCATTAAATGCAAATTGATTTTCTGGTTTTCCATCCGGAATTTTATATATCTTAAACCATTCAATTGTGGCTTTTATTAAACCTGGATAATGCTTCTCAATGTCACTTATATCTGCAATCATTATTAAGTTTCTTAATAAATATGAATTGTAATTACCATTCATTTGATCAACCAAAGGATCATTAACATCAATTACAATAATCTTCCAATCAGTGCCGCCTAAAATAAAAATTGTTCATAATGAAACATACATACTGTACGTACTGTATTTTATTTGCACATAAATTATTCTAATATTCTATATATTTTTCGGTATAAACATTAATCTAATAAATTTAATTAATAGATAAGTTAATTAGTTAACCTTCATCAATAAGTGCCACTGTCCCAAGAACTTTTACTTTTAATATCTCGCCTCGTTTTGCAACCTATAAATTCAAATATATTTTCATCAATTATTATAATCAATTACAATTATTAAATTACATGACAAAAAAATTATTAAAGATATCTCTGCAATTATTTCTCACCCTATAGCCTATTTCAAGAACATCGATAGGATCATTGTCACCTTTGCATCCTGTTGCTTCATCCAAAACGTCAGGATTTTCCCAAGTCTGTTAATTATATTATTTAGTAAAATTATTTATATTACAATAGCAAGAAAGATAACAAATTATAATATATATTATATATTATTATATCAAATAGCTTTCAACAAGAGATAAGATAGTATTTTTTTATAGTAGATAGTTAAAAAACCAGGAAACAAGATAACATTTCAAAAGTAATAAAAAGGAAATTATTGTTAAGTCCTCAGTGCCTTGATTACAAGTTCACATATACATTTGCACAAGATATATGAACATGAGATAAGAAAGTATATATACAGGGTGTCCCGACCTTTTTTGCTAATCACTTTTGTGTAGATAGAGCGGACTAAACTGAGTTGAAAAATCCTCTACCATTTTGCAATTTTTGCAATAGTTAACAAAATATTAATTACTAAAAATTGCAAAATATTGGTTTTGAATAATTTTTTACTGAAATACTATCAACTTTATAGAAAAACTGCAAGACAAAAATTATTTATTTCCTTCTCATAAACTTCTGAGAATTTTTTCAGAATTTTTTAATACCTTATTTTCTCATGTTGGTAAAAATAAGAAAACGCAGTACTAAAAAGTTGATAAAAAATTCTGAAAAAATTTTCAAAACTTTATGAGAAGAAAATAAATAATTTTTGTCTCTTGCAGTTTTTCTGTAAAGTTGATAGTATTTGAGTAAAAAAATTATTCAAGACCAATATTTTGCAATTTTTAGTAATTAATATCTTGTTAACTATTGCGAAAATTGTAAAATGGTAGAGGACTTTTCGACTCAGTTTAGTCTGCTCTATCTACACAAAAGTGATTGGCAAAAAAGGTCGGGTCACCCTGTATATATATGCACTTAGTGTCTGTTTAATACAACCGTTAATACTTCCTTTTATTATATTCAGATAATAAATCAATGAGATCATCATGTGTATTATCGTAGAATGTATAATAGTTTATTTAGATAAGTGATAGATATAAAAGAATGTGCTTCATAGAAAATGTACTTGCCACGAGACCCATTATTGCTTTCTTAATATAAACAAGTGTTGTAAATGGAATATTTTTAAAAATTAAAGTTATAAGCTATAACTATAAGAAAGTTATAAACTTTCTTTCATTTAACTACAAAAAATTCTTTTTATTTTTCAAAAAAATTTTCTAAAGTTTACTTTTATATTTTAAATATAATTTGTATGTTTTATATATACTGGATGAATCATTCTAATTTTAACAAACAAATATTTTAAAAAATGCAATTTTACTAAAAAAAACCTTCCAAATAAAAATTGTATGGTGTAGAGTAGGATATTTAATGGTGGCATTCATTTCTATATCATACAACTTTTACTTGGAATGTTTTTTGGTAAAATTATATATTTTCGAAATATTTGCGTATTGAGATTTAAATGAATCATTCTGTATATGTGTTCTGCAAAATAACTCAGTGACAAATAACAGTGCAAAACAACAGAGCAGTTGTTTTTTAAAACTTGAATTCCTATTTCTGTAATTCCATGTATAAAATACAAGAATTTTTTGTAATAAATAAATATTATTCCACTGAAATATAGAAACAAAATTAAAAAACAGAATAAAACAAATATTAAAACAGAATAAAAAGAAGCAATTAAATAACAGTTACTAGAATTCCTACCTGGGGCAAAGCTCCATAATTCCATATGTAGCCATGATGAGGAAAACAATTAGCAACAAATCTTAATTTATCCTTTTTAACATCCTGCTTAATGGGATTCAAACTCTCTTTAAGACAAATTTCCATTTTAGCGTTTGTCCATCTTGGTATTTCGACAACCATATGTAATGTCTTGTTGTCTTCGTTGGCAAAGAGAGGAACATCGTGCATGGGTGAGATTGGGACACCCTGATCATTTTCTACACATACGAATTAAAGAAGTTTTTAAAATACTTTAAAAGAAATATTGTTAGATATTGTTAATTCAGAATATTTCTGTTATTTCATATAGTAATTCAGAATATGTTATGCAAGAATATATCAGAAAAATCTCTGGTACAAAAAAGACGATATAAAACTTGGTGAAAATATGAATGTATAAGGAACATATGTCTAGAGAATGATTATAACTACTTCCTCATTCATAAAGCCTATAAATATGTACTTTCACTGGAGCTAAATATCATAGGTCATTGAATTAGACCAATGCACGAAAAAATATCACAGATATCGTAACAAAAATAATTCGTAGACGCTTGCTGTTTAAAACAAATCATTATTTCAATACGAAATATACCGTAGCGAAATACGCCGTAGCGAAATATGCGGTAATGAACTTGAAACCAGGATTGAAATCCGACAGTTACGGCGCGATCGATTGAACTGATTAGAGTCCCCTAAGTGATTCACCATCAAGATGTAAGCGAAACTTCGTGCGACGTTGTGTCGTTCGAGAAAATTCAAGTCATTAATAACAATAAAAATATTAATAGCATGCACGCGAGAACGTGTATCCGTGACCTCGCAACGAAGTTCACGATATTTGACGCAGACTTCCGCAAATGTTGCTTCATCGTTTATCTGACTACGTCACGTCGAATCTACTCACTGAAAAATACTCTGTAGTCCGTGCTGTTGAGTGCACCTCTCTCGACGGTCGTGTACGACATGTCTCGGCAAAATTTCGTGAAAACAGCGAGCTTCCTAAACACCGGTCTACCGGTTGCTACGAATCGCGACGGAATAACGAGTTTCGTCAAACCGTGGCAACGTAACACGTGCAGCGTTATCAGAAACATTTCTGCCATCTGTCGTCCTACGCGTTATATATATATATTGATAAAAATATATATGTGTCAAATTTTATTTGATATATCAATTATTAAACGTAAAAATCCATGATAAACGCGCGCATGATATGTCATTTTATCTTTCTTTAATATCCAATGAACAACAAGGACATAATGATACATTCATACGCATTTTGAGTGAAACGGAACCAAACGATTAAACGTGATCTCTCTGTTTACACAATATTTTTGATAAATATTTAGTATAATATAGACTCTCACCTTCAATTTTCTATAATTTTGTAAATTTATGTATTTTCATGCATAGAATATATTTCGAGTTCCGGAAAGAAAAATAGTCGAAAATAGGAGATAGATATATAACATGTAAAACATTTATTATAATGCTTTCTTTAGCAACTAACATTGCTAATTTTCTAGCTAAAAAATCAGCAATTGAAAAAATATGTTATAAATTATATACTTCTTTAGCCGCTATAGTTTTCTAAAAAAAAAAAAAGAATTTACAATTGTGAATCCAAACCGTATAACGATAACAATACCTTATCGACAGTCGGGAGAGGTATTAGATCGACTGTTGCATTCAAATAATATAATAATTTGTGGATTCGACAGTTGATATGATATATCAGTAATGTCTGCGCTCTTTAATTATCCCCGGTGTTTAGAACAGTTTAGAATCCCAGTTTAGAACACCGATTAAAATTTTAAATTTTTTAACATTATCTTGAACATGAATAATAAACACAATTTCACAATAATGGTCACGTTGTAAAATATATATGTTTCTACAAACATCATTATAATTTAAAGATACAATTTTTTAAACTAACAATTTTAGAACGATCAATATTCGTAGATTAATGGCGAATGTTTTTCAAAGGGCATTTATTAGATTACCACCAGAATTGATCGATATGTTGGCCTATAATAAAAAATATATTCTTCTAATCGCATACAACTGAATTTTGTGACTTCAAATGTATTTAATCATTTCTAGAATTGATCCGACTTGTTTCGCCAAGTTACGCGATATGACTGGGAGTTGCGATTACAAAATTATGTAATAGAGTCGTGCGATAACGCTGGTTTGCTTATTTGCATCATTTGCGAGAACACACGACCCTCACGACGAATCACTATTGCTAGTTCGCTATCGTGATATTCGTGGCGCATAAATTGGAGGGATTGCACTCGTTGCACTCACACATGAGTCAGCTATTGAGTCGTGTTTCCGTCAACGGACGCCCATCGACGTTCAGTTGTTTTGTACGAAGATTTCACATATCATCACAAAAAATGGTTATTGCTGTAAGTATTCTTTAATGTACTTATTTTAGCAATGATTCATCAATTATCTTTCCTAATTGTACTTTAAGAGCCTCCTTGTAATCTATCATAATTGTAATCTATCATATCCTCAGAGGATGATACACGATATAAGTTCAGTTGTAAGATCATTCATTACACTAATAAAACCTACAGAATGTGATCGATTCTAGACACTACAATGACAATGTTGGATAGTTCTGGTTACTTTATTTTGATTGCTTGTCTATTGCATGATTGTGATAAAAATTGTAAATAATTCATTACAACTAATAAAACCTACAAAATGTGATCGATTCTAAACACTACAATGACAATGTTTTGATAGTTCTTAATTAAAAATATATATATAAATTATTAAAGCAAATTTATGTTAACCAAACAATGTGTAATTGCAAATATTTATATGATGTGTATATTTATTTTTTAAGTGACTGCTAATTGTTGGTCAAGTTTGTATATTTAACCGAATAGATATCTTATCAAATATGATATTGTATCTAATGAATATTTATAATTTTTTATTAAAAGACTAATCATCAATTATCGATGATTTTCAAGGTTGGAGACAAATTACCCAGCGTGGATCTTTTTGAGAACACGCCAGCAGACAAGGTAAACCTAGCAGAAGCTGCAGCTAAGAAGAAAATCATAGTGTTTGGTGTGCCAGGTGCATTTACTCCTGGTTGCTCAAAAGTAAGGAAAAAAACTTATTCTTTTCCAATTCAAATAATTATTTAAATTTTTGATAAATCCAACAGCTTTATCTTAATAAAATTAGAAATTTTTTATTTACATATAGTTTTGCAAGTAATTTTAATTTTCGTATTAATGCAATATCTTTCATTTGAATTTTTTATTTATAAGGTAGAGAAGAGCTATTCTGTGTTGATATATCTTTAGTTGCTATATATCTCCAAAAGTATATCTTCAAAAGCTTCAACTATAACAGCAAGCAATATCACTTTGCAGTGACGTGTTTACAACAGTATAAACATGGCTGCTTCTTGAAAACACAAACATGACTTTCAAATGTTTAATACATATTGTTCAGAAACATGAATATTATCACTGACAGGAATAGCTCTGTGGACGATAAAGCTTTACCCTAATAAAAAATTAATTTATCTTAAACTTAATTCAGCAAATTCTTATACAGCTTTATATATACATATATTTAGCAACAGAATAATAAATTTTTGTTTGATATAGATTATATTATAAATATGATTAATTTAGTTATTAATATTGATTTTTAGACTCATTTGCCTGGTTACGTTGTAAAGGCGGAGGAATTAAAATCCAAAGGAATTTCCGAGATATTTTGTATCAGTGTTAATGATCCATTTGTTATGGCAGCCTGGGGAAAAGAACATGGTGCAACAGGAAAAGTAAATGTTCATTTAATTATTAAATTAAAAAAATTAAATCTTTTACATTATTGTTATATAAATTTAAATTTACTTTGTCTATTATAATTATTTCCTTAAGAAGTTGTTTTTATTCTTAGGTACGAATGCTAGCTGACCCTAAAGCAGAGTTTACAGATGCCATGGATCTTGCTGTGGATTTGTCAGTCTTAGGAGGCAAACGCAGCAAACGTTATTCTATGGTGATTGAAAATGGAATTGTAAAGGAGATTAATGTTGAACCAGATAACACTGGTCTATCTTGCTCTCTAGCGGATCGTATTAAAGTCTAAAGCAGTTTAAAACACTATTTTAATCATCAACTTTAGAATGTGTAGACAGAGTTTTTTACAAGAGGAAACTGAGATTAGCATTAAGGAGAAAACTGCAAGTACTTCGGCTATCTTAGCAATATTTTTTAACGTTCTTCACATATAGACATAGAAGTCTATGTCTTTGCGACACATTGACATAAAAACAGGGTGCTTTCTATTTAATGTCTCAAGTCGACACAAACATTCTATCTTTCTTGACATTCCAGTGAGTAACAAAGATAGAACAACGTGTCGATTTGTGTCAAATGGAAAGCATCCCAATTGAGACCCGAATGATTCAGAATCAAACCAACTGAGCCGATATGTCTGTAGTTTTTCCTTTTCGCTAATTATAAGTGCTTTCCATTTAGTGACACAAGTCGACACAACTATCGTTCTGTCTCTATTATTCATGGAATGGGAAAAAAATAGAACATTTGGATCAACTTGTATCATTAAATAGAAAGCATCCCTTAATACCCTCTTGCCCTAACTGACACTATGTGCTTCATATATATGTATTCTAAAGCTGTTGATTTTAACATTTTCCGTTTTCATATTATGTTTTTCAACGTGTGTACTGTTAACATGTAGCAGTTATTCCTCGATTTTAGCGATTTCGCTTTTAAAATGAAGAAACTCTTGTGATATGTTGCTTTTAGTTTAAATCTTTGTATGTTAAATAGAAATATTACTTAAAAAAAGTTGAAATTAATGTTTTTCTTGGATCGTGACATGTATGATATGGAAATAAAAATAATTCCTTAAATGATATTTCAAAGCACATTTGAACGATCATCCTAAATCTTTGAATATGTTTTAAGAATTTCGATTGATTCTTTGTTATGAAAAATCTGATATATTTTATCAGATACTCATACTAATGTATCTTGTATAATGTTACATACAAGTAAAAGTTCAATTTTTGAATGATCTGCAGGCTCCTGGTGTAACAAATTAATGGCTGTCAGGCTGCGTTCAACAGAACGTTTATTTTATAACTGTTGGAAGTTTTCTTCGCGCTGATTAGATTTTTTTTTAGAGGAATGAACCTATCTCTGCAGACAATCATAAAACTGTTGCAAAACTATTGTGTTCTGTTGAACACAGTCATTGTATAGCACACTTCATGTTTGATTGCAATGGAGAACATATCTACACATCCTATATAAGAAACTTCAGAAGCTTGTTTTATGCTTGATTTTTCAATTATCTGCATGATATTAATAAGCGGAGCTGTCATTACAGTCTTAACTTATTAGAACTAGATTACGAGGCTTTTTCAGACATGTTCAAATTTTTTTTAACGGTACTTGGAATCTCTTATGCTATGGACTTAGAATTACTTCATTGAATTCGGGAAAATTTTGCAACTGAATATTGAATTAAATTACTAGACCTTTTACAATAAGGTAAAAAACAAAAATATTGTACCCTAGTGTACAATAATTTCTGAAATAATATGTACATTTCTCTCAGCCGTCAAAAATCGCTGCGGCGATGCTGCAACAATTTTTGAGAGATTTTAGAAATTATTTTATACTTCTATATATATATATATATATATATATACAGGGTGTCTCAGAAAATGTGACCGAAACACAGTGGGGACATAGATTGGACCAAGGGGAACAAAACAGTTTTGTACCATTTTGCAGTTGACGCAATATATAAATATTGCAATATATAAACGCAATATATAAATATATAAATGGTACAAAACTGTTTTGTTCCCCTTGATCCAATCTATGTCCCCACTGTGTTTCGGTCACATTTTCTGAGACACCCTGTATATGACATCGGACAGATGTCTCAGTTTGCGATATATTTTATAGGTTTTAGGATTACGAAATTATTATTTTTAAGAAAAAAATTTAAAAAAATATATAAAGCTATACGTAGCAATTAATTAATTGCATATCATTTCTTACATCCGACATCAAACAACCTGGTGCCTCAAAAGAGCCAAAACTTCAAATCTTTCATACATTGTACTACTTACAATAGAAAATTATAAAATAAAATACATATTTACAATATAATACAATATAATATTAATTAGTGGTTATATTTTCGAAACATAAGACAAATTTCTTAATTAGAATATTCTTTGAATTTTTCTTTGATGAAGTGTCCTTAGCGTCTTTAGCAAGAAGATCAACATGAAATGTTTTTCTAATGTGTTTGGTTATATCATATGGAACTCTCAAGGCCCTTTTATAATAGAACATTGACAAAACATTAATTTATCAGTTGAATTGGTTGAAACCTATTCATAAATTTCCCAACTTGTTTCGTTAATATTTTATTATCGATAATAGCTTCTTTCAGTTTAACTTTTTGAGCATTTATTTTACTAGTGTGTATAAGTTATTTAACTATTTCGTTTAAAGTTTGTAAGGAATGTCAGGATTGACAAGAAATGTCAGAATAAAGGCTTTATCGAAATATCACTGAACGTCTTAATTCATACTAAATAAGACTTTAATAAACCTTTACTATAAATTCAAATACAAAATTCCAGTGTTAGGAATATTACATAACGACGGTGTGCTTAATGTGTTGCAAAAATTCACTAACTGCGACGAAACCGTGCCTGCTCCGGCTGTGCTCCGGCTTTTAGTGTACAGTGTAAAGTCACTAGATTTATAAAGTACCGCAATCCATAAGACCAATGTATAAAGATGTGGAGCCAAAATGGCGTCGAAAAGTGTAAATAGTACTCATTTTCATAACGTATTTACACATTAAGTGTAATGTATTTAATCTGTCTGTTGTGTAAACACATTCATACTCATATGCATGTTTTGAATGAACCGCATGTTGGAGCCAAAATGGCGGAATGATTGCGGTACTTTATAAATCTAGTGACTTTAGTACAGTGTACATTGGAGCGCCGCCAATTATCAGTATCACAACCATGGAGTAAATAAGGAGAGCAAACTCGAGGTCTAAAGGCCCGTCTACAATACACGGAGTAAGAAGTAAGAGTAAGAAATTGACCAATCACAGTCGAATGTGAGAAAAATAATCGACTGTGATTATTCTATATAGGAGACTAGCGCGACGAAAGTTCACTTTAGAGCGAACTGAACTGTGTTCTTGGAAAGAGTTCTCAATTTTTCTAATTTTCGTAACCGAGATATTAATTTCTAATATGTTTCCGAACATACGTGCATGCAAAAATAAATTTTTCGTACGAAGATTTTGTTTTGATGTGAACAGAGAATGATCATAGCTCAAAGAATAATTATAGCTGGAAATTCGACGCTATTCGCGACTCATGTCTAGCGACGACCATTGCTGCTCTTCTTCTTCTTCTGTTATTGGCCCCGCAACCTAGACAGGCTGGTACTGGGCCATTGAGGTCTTCGTAATTGAGCTAATCGTGATTGGGGGTGCTATGCACCGGCCACCTCGAACCGGGCGAGTAATGGATGCAATAAAAAATGGTGAGGCGCCCCTTCAAACACTGGACGCCTGCGGCTACGACGCTTCCACGCCGCACGACCGCGCGCCAAGACGGATAAAGGGACTATCGAAATTGAAATACAAAGGCACAGTCCAAGCCGGCAACGCTTTTCAAAAATATAATCGAGGTGACGCAACACCCGAGACGAGAGGGAACACGTCCGACCCGCTCGAGTGGTCTACAAGACTTGACCATTGCTGCTTGTTATAAACAACGCGTGCATAAGGACGGCGAGCACGCGCGGCGCGTCGCGCTGGGCGGTCCTATCGAGCCGCGCGCTTGGATTTGGCGGTGGGCCGAGCGAATTTGGATATTTTTATAAATAAATATCTCGTTAACTATTGCGAAAATTGAAAAATGGTAGAAGACGTTCCGTCTCAGTTTAATCCTCTCTACCTATCCATGATATTTGTCAGGAGAGTTGTGGGACACCCTGTATATATGATTATTATTGGAGATATACAAAATTGCGTGCTTGTCTGCTTGTCGGTCCGAAATTTTCGTGACTCGGTTTCCCATGAACCAATTTTTCCGGAATTGTGAAAAATCGGATTTATTTTAAATATTTTATGAAAAAAGATAATTATGATATAGTAGAAGAATCTGTAAAAAAATAAAATTCCGATGTACTTTTTATTGTAACAGAAGAAAATAAATGAAATTTTTTAATTAAAAGTCGGTTTGAGGTTAAAATAATAGTCCGTTTTCCGAAAAAGTCACTCCATGGGAAACTCGGTCATCAAAAAGTCGGAACATAAAAAGAGTGATCATAGTAATTAAAAATTTA